GTCTCTGTACTCACCGTTTTTGTTCAGGTTTTTCCACTAATTGGTGCCTAATCCACTTCTGTATATTTCCTTTCAAAGCTCAGGGCTCCAGGATTATATTCTGTATCCATGTCAACTGGTTTTTCTTTTCTTTGTTGAAGAGGGTCTATGTCGCTTGTCTGCCTATTCCCCCTCTTACCGGAAGTTGTATGTTTGCTTTTTAGTGAAGCCTTGAGTTAGGATATAACTTTTTTAAGACCTATGAATTAATCATAACACACAATAATGTTCTGGCTTCTATAAAAATGCTCAATTTTATTCTCATTTTAAAACATACAGAGTTTGGAACCTGGAGAAATGGACAAAGAAGAATAAACTGCCTGAGTTAAAGTTTCAGACATGCTACAAACTCTAATAGGCTTTGCAGATAATAGTGCTTTTCAATATCTAACTCCTTTGATGGAGGCCATATGATTTTCCCAGCACTTTGGTCTCCACTACTTCAGTTGACCCACCTCCTTCATGGTTCGTATGGTAGTAAGAGTATTTATTGGCTCTGGCATTACTCTTCCTGAGTAGAAGATCTCATCTACCACTTAGGTAACTTTAGGCAAGTTACTTAACATCTTTTGTTGTTATTATTAGTTGCCGTCAAGTTGATTCCAATCATGGAGACACTCCATGTTTTCAGAGTAGAACTGTTCCATAGGGTTTCCAGGACTGTGACCCTTTGTAAGCAGATTGCCAGGCCTGACTTCTGAGGTGTATATGGGTGGATTCAAACTGACAACCTTTTGGTTGGCAGTCCAGTACTTAACTGTTTGCACACCCAGGCATCCTAAATTTCTCTTAGTTATTCTTTTTTTTTTTCCTTCTCTAAAATAGGAATAATGATAGTTATTATTTAAGGTGGTTGTAAAGACTAAATGAAATAACATAGAGCCTGCACACTAGGCGATAAAAAGCACACTATTATAATTGGGGAAAGGAGAAGGCAGACAATGGGTATTCCATTGTAGTCATAGCTTCATGCAGAAAAGACAGGCCTAATACCCTCATTGCTTCATATGCAAACGACAGCACTGGACTATAGCTGTGTACACTTAAACACGTATGCACATAAACAGAGACTTTCCCCTTGCACTTAATGAGTTCAGTCACTTGACCTTAATATTTGTATGTAAAATGCATTCGGGTTCACTTCCCCTGATTGACCTCACAAGAACATATGAGGCAGAAGCATGCGTGAAATTTACTCACAGGTACCTCTTTGCTCACAGTAGGGAAAAGCTAAGGTAATTCAATAGTAAACTCATAAAGTAAACTGTAACATATATATATCCTAAAAGAAATAATGATCTTTACGGTAACAATTAGTACTAATCATCGTCTGATGCTGTTATAACCTTCATTTTCTTCTTTATTGAAAATCAGTTTTTCATGTCTTTATTAAGGGTCATCAGCATCGATATGAGTTTTCTGTATACAGCTGGGACTTTGGTAGGAATTGTGTTGATCTATAACCAGTTTGAAGAACCTTCATTTTTTTTAAGATGACAGATGGTCTTTGTTGACATATCTGAATTTCTTTTCTGGGATGTACTTTTACCCCATCACCCCATATTTCAGTTTATAAACTCCTTGCTTCAAAAGACAACCCCCCCAACCCAGATCCCCTGAAGCTGGGGATACAGAGAGGATGGTTCTTACACTAGGGTGTTTTCCTTTCTCATTTAGAGAAATACCTGTATGTGTTGAAAGCAGCCTGGGTTGGTTCATTGGTTAGTATTCAGAGCTTAAGTAGAAGCAGCACAGTGTAGCAGAAAGAGTGAGAATTTTGAATTTACAGAGCAGGATTAGTCATAGCTCAGCAGTCTAAGCAAGTTACATAACCTCTGAGCCCTACTTTCATAACCTGTTCAATATATGAGCCATAATATCTCTTAAGTTATGAAAATTCAACATGATGTCTGTGGAAGTACCTTGGAAAGTGTCAAGTACTGTAGAGATACCTTACTGTGTGGGTTTTGTGCTCTTAGCCTAGTAATAACCCCAAACTTAGCCTGTATAAAGCCAGTCATAGCATACCCTCATCAGACTCTCCTAACGATATGGTAGCATGACCTCCAGAATAAACGTTCTGTTAGTATCTACTGGCATTGTTCTAGATCATGCTGTCCGATAACTCTCACTCACTGACCTTGAGTCGGGTCCAACTCATAATAAAAATTTTCTAGTGCCACATTAAAAAATAAAGAACTGGTGAGATTAATTTTAGTTATGTATTTTTTTTACTTAGTATATTAAAAATGTTATTTCAGCAAATAATCAGTAAAAAAAAATATTGAGATAGTGTACCCTTTTTTTGACACTAAGTGTTTGACATCTGGACTGTATTTTATACTTACACCACACCTCAATTCAGACTGGCCACACTTTAAGTGCTTTATAGACACATGTAGGGTAGTGGTCACTATATCAGATACCTATCACCTTCTAGATGTTGGGGTTGTAGCAAACTTGCTGCCCTTGATTATTTCCAACTCATAGTGACGCCCATTGGGTTTCCGAGGCATAAATCTTTACAGGAGTAGATTGCCCCATCTTCCTTATGCAAACACACCAGCGTTCTGGTTAGCAGTCAAATGCCTTAGGCATTAAGCCACCAGAGCTCCTTAGGGGTTGTAGCGGTGAATAAAATATAGAAAGTCCAATCCCTAAGAGGTGCACACAGTTAAGTGCTTGGCTGATAAACACATGGTTGGTGGTTTGAGTCCACCAGAGGTACCTTGGAAGAAAGGCCTGGTGACTCTACTTCTGAAAAATTAGCCATTGAAAATCCTGTGAAGCACTGTTCTCTCACGGAATCTGAATAGACTGGACAGCCAGCTAGATTTTTGGTTTACCTCAAGAAAATGGCTTTATCAGATGGGGACAGATGGTGAACAAGTAAATTCCAGCAGTGATGGGTGCCATGAAGAAGCTACAGCAGTGATGACAGTAGCTAGACTACTCAGGGAAGATCTCTGAGGCGTTGACATTTGAGCTGAGACCTGAATGGTTAAAATGGGGAGCTACCCATGCAAAAATGTAAGAGAAGTTTCTTCTAGTCAGTGAGCACTGCACACACAAAGCCCTAAGATAGGATGATTTTGCTGTGTTCGATGAACCAAGTGGTTCAGCTGGATTTTAGTGAACACGCGTGTTTGGGACAAGATGAAATGAGATAAGAGAGGTTGGCAGGCTGTAGAGCAAATAGGACTTAATGGCTGCTTGGATTTCAATGGGAACAAGTTGAGATTTTATTTTAAATGAGATGGGAAGCCATTGGAAGGTTTTAATTAGGGGCATAAGACACATGTGAGTATTAAAATATAAGTTAAACCAAAAAAAACCAAGTTCACTGCTGTTGAGTCGGATCTGACTCAGCAACCCCTCCTTGGATTTCCGAGGCGGTATCACTACGGAAGTAGATTGCCCAACTTTCCTTCCGAAATACAGGTTAGGTACCTATATATTGAAAGAATACTTCATTATTTATGTAACTCAGTGGACCAGAAAAACAAACTTTAAAAAAATGTATGTAACTAATATCTGTACCGTTTTTGAAATAAACTTATACGCCATATCAGTCTCTCAGCTGTAGACATCTGTATGATTTATGAAGATAATCTTCTGAGCACTTTAGTCCCATTAGCTATCATTTTTCAAATTCCAGAAAAACTGATGACTGACTTAGTATAACGTTCTCACTTATCCTTGATTTATAAATGAAATGCCTTTAAAGAGAGACTCAAACTTTTTTTAACAGTAGATCTGCTACTGATTGTTTTGTGTTTTACCTCTTTTGGCAGACATGTGCATTGCTATTGCAATTTCTCTTCTTATGATCCTGATATGTGCGATGGCTACTTACGGTGCATACAAGGTGAGCAGCTTTGAAATAAGTGCCTGGCCTTATCCCAACTCCCTTACACATGCGATTCCTGCATCTACTTGGAATAAATAAGAAATAATTATTCTAAGTTTTCTGAAATTTTGGAAGTTTAGATCTGTCATTAATATTATGTCATATCACTGAAACCTCTCAGAAATGTTCATTGAAACTTACTTATTGGCTACTCCGATTTGTTATGCCAATTATTACCAATTACTATTTAATGAATTTCTTTTAATCAGTTTTGTATCATATTAATAAAAGATTTCCTTGAGTTCAGCAAAACAGTATTTTGTAATACGAACCCAGTGATGTTCTGTTTTCTCTTGTATTTAGCAACATGCTGCCTGGATCATCCCATTCTTCTGTTACCAGATATTTGATTTTGCCCTGAACACCTTGGTTGCTGTCACCGTGCTTGTTTATCCAAGCTCCATTCAGGAATACATACGACAGCTGGTATGTGGCCCTCCATATTACTGCTTCTTTTCATGAGGGAACCTTAGTTAAATTAAGGATCTGGAGATAGAGACACATACACGCACGCACGCACGCATGCACCCATAGTAATTTGTGGATTTTTAACTTGCGTGTTGTTGTTAGTTGCCATCAGGTCACCCCCTACTCATGGTGACCCCATGTACAATGGAATAAAAGAATGCCCAGTCTTGAGTCATCCCCATGATTGGTTATAGATCAGACCTTGTTCTCATTGGCTGATTTCAGAAATTAGATTGCCAGGCCTTTCTTCGTAGTCTGTCTTAGTGTGGAAGCTCTGCTCAACCTGCTCCGCATCATAGCAGTGCATAAGCCTCCACTGATGGACAGGTTGTGGTTGCTGTGAGGTGCATTGGCCAGGCAATCCAACCTGAGTCTTCTGCATGGAAAGCGAGACTTCTGCTGCTGAACCACCATCCTTGGGATTTTTGACTTGCACCTGATTTACTGATTGGAGATGTTTGGATGTTATCTTGAATATAATTTGTTTCTTATAATACTTTTTTTGGAAAACATAATTCCCTGAACTTGAGATAGATAAATTGATGGCAGTGATGGTGGTATTAGATACAGCTACCTAAATTATGAGTTAGTTACTAGTTGTCTGAGGTTGTGAAATGAAATTTGTTTACATATCAGCAAAGGATAGCTTTTTGCCTCCACCATTACATGGGAGAAGTGGAACTCCATTATACATTGGTTCCCAAACTTAATTGATCATAAAAACGCTTTCTTCCCCAGGCGTCTGACACCCTGTTAGGTGTGCTTTGTGACCATATGAGAAATATTAGTGGCTTGGCATCAAGAAGCTTGTGGCAGTTATGAATTTAGAATACTTCTGTGACTTTACATTTTCTGCTTATATTTTTAAAATTACGAATGTGCTGTAAAATTTAAATTCTCTAAAGTCTTAAAATGTTTTCAGTGGTGAGCTTATTCACTCTTTGAAGGTCTGAGTAGTAGTTTATAAGCGTAGGGAAAGGAGGGAGATTTTTCAGGAATGGGAGAGATGAGGATAGGGGATTTGATGTGACAGTGAAAATAAGAGCACTGGAAGGCTTAGAGGAAGGGGGAAATGTGGTGGGAGACATTTGCAGTCTTGCAGTTATGCCCAGATCATGTAAGTGATACCCAGCAGACCTGCCACAAAGAGCCTGTAGTATTTTGCTCCTTAAAAGCCTCTAGATGGCCCTTGTTGTTGTTGTCATTCCTAATAGCTTCTCTTTGTTTTAGAAAACAGGTCCATGTTTTTGTATAGTATCTTTTGTGTTTTTCCCATGTGCTAATTTTATGTATTATTTCTGTGGCACAGTGAGAGCTTTGATGAAAGGAGCCCTGGTGGTGAAATAGTTAGTGCTCAGCTGCCAACTGAAAGGTTGAGGCTCGAATCCAGCAGCTGTTCCACTGGACGAAAGACCCGGAGATCTGCTTCCATAAAGATGACAGCCTAGGAGGCCCTGCAGGGCAGTTCTGCTGTCACTCGGGGTCCTTATGAGTTGGTATAGTGTTTCTGCATGAGGAGGTTTATGCATGATGAGCAGGCTATAGAATCACCTCTCTCTTTAAGGGCTTGTGTTTCTAGTGGGTCACGCTGATCCAGTGCTGGGCTCCTGAAACCATCGTGGAAGTTTGGAGGAAACATGATCATAGCATAGCCTGTCACATGAGGGGCTTGGAAAGGATGGTGTTGATTAATGAGATATTAACATAAGCCGTATGGCAGCCTGTGATGATCTGAATAGTATACTGTCTGCCACACTCTATGTACTGCAGAGATTTCTTGGTGTATAAAGCATGATACGCAGGACACGCGTATGAACACTCCCAGTACTGTATAGACTTTCTCTTGTGCGCCATGTTGTACAGTAACTCCACACTCATTTTGGTAGATCAGCCAGTGGTATAACAATAACGTTAGTGCTGTTGTTGTGTGCCTGTGAGTTGATTGCAACCCTCAGTGGCCCCTTGTGACAGAGTAGAACTGCCCCATGGGGTCCTAGGCTGTAATCGTTGTAGGAGCAGGTTGCCAGGTCTTCTCTCCTGTGGGCTGGAGCCTACCCTTCAGGTTAGCAGCTGAGCACTTAGTCACTGTGCCATAAGGGCTCCTTTCATCAGTGCTAGTGACAGTAATTAAAATACTGGTTAAGAAACAAATCACCATCAGCTTGTAATTTGTAGCTGCAAACCATTTAACATAAGTGAGTAATACTTTTTGGTATGTTGTGCTTAAACATCAGCCTGGACTAAAAAAAAAAAAAAAAAAAAAA